TTCTTCAATTCTACTTCATTTCCCCACAACCTCCCCCCTTTTGTTTTTTCCTTTTTTTTTTTTTAATCGTATGTTCTGTGCAGCAAATTAATTTCTTTTTTATGTTTTTATTATTTAGCAAAGACTTTTTATCGCTTATTATTCCGCACAGCTCGTCATAATTTGCACCTGTACAAAAGTCACACTCGCAAATTAGGTTTGTTGTTGGCACAGTGCGAGCGAAAAGTCGTCTTCCCAGAGCTCAGAGCTATTATTCACTGGTATGTGCTACATATTTACCAAATGCACATTTCATTTATCGACTTTCGTCAACATTTTATGACAACCAAATGAATAGAATGGAAGGCGAGTAACAATATATTTAAGATATCTGTACAATTATGGTGATCGCACAAAAAACATATAATAGGTTCCGTTTTAAACTCTGTAAAAGGTTTTCCGAAACGTTTCAACTAAAGCAACAGAAGCTGGTTTTAATTGTTCATGTCCACGAGTCGTATACGTGATTCAAGAATGGTTTTGATGGCTTGAATGATGAATTTATGATTACCGAAGAAAAAGTGCGTGAATCTATCAGAAATCTGAATTGAATCGCAGAATTTAATGGAAATGGAATGAAATATCTCTAAATGTTTATGTAGTGGCAGAGTCCATGAGTCGTATACGCGATGCAAGAATGGTTGTGATGGCTTGGATGACGAGGAACAGAATTTATGATTACCGAAGATGTAGTTGAAAACGTGCGTGAATCTATCAGAAATCTGATGAAATCTTCGAAGAATTCACTGGAAATGGAATGAAATATCTCCAAATTAACGATTTATCTCATTTTAGCTGAAGATTTGGGTCTGCTTTGTTCCGCATGAGTTGTCTGTTCGGTCGCAACTTGTGTTTGATATTTTGAAAAAAAAGGTTTCGTTTTAACCATGAACCCCATAGTTGTTGCAGGAGGACAAGTCACAATTGGTATTATTTACATACGATTTTCAATGACTATATATCAAATAGAAACAAAACAAAGTACACTGAGATTTGATAGAAGAGAACTCTGTATTGGCACTCTGATGGTATTTTATTTAAGCAACCTGTTGAATGATCTTTATTGATTTAGATATCTTATCTTATTTTTGTGATGAAACTACAGGTTATGAAGAGACCTGTAGTTTCATCACAAAAATGATGAAAAGCGTGAGTACAGGGTATTCCAGAGTCGGGCTGGCACAACTTTAACATTCTACTCGTTTTAATTTATTTTGTATCGAGCAGCTGAGTCTTTGATATCCGTTTGTAAAAGCGTATTAAAAAGTCGCTTAAGTATTACATCATCAGGAAGGGATCAGTATGTTGTAAGGAGCTCATGTATCTAAGAGACTGAAGCTTATCCTCAAGCCATGCATGTTATATATTTATTTATGTTAACAAACATTAACTGTCGACATAGGAGCAAAATATATAAAAAGCATCTTATAAGCTGGAAATGCCTAGGAAGGAGAAATCTAATTAAATTGCAATAATATCTAATTAATATCTAATAATATCTCAATTGAGATGAATAGAAAACAACGAGTATTTATTGTGATTCCTTTTGAACCAGTCCTCTTTCTCTTTATGCTTAATTGGCTGTTAAGTAGAATTGCTTTTCCTTCTCTACTTACTATTTTTTTTAGCCTGTTAGGTTTTTAATGTCTCTGACCACATATGGCTGTGATTCGGGGCATAAATTTCTTTCTTTCTTTCTTATCTTTTAAGTTGAAATTATAACGTTGTATTATTAAATATTTGTATTTTGTTTTATAATATTATATTTTAATATAAATCACAGTTCTTGAATATGTAGCGACAGCACTATTTGTTGATTTATTAAATAAAATAAAATAAAAAGTCAGCAGTTGATGATTCAACTGAATGACTAATCGAATAATAGAAAATGGAATAATAAACAGCAAATGGACAATGGCCTATGACATTAAAAGAGCCACTCCTTATACATAGACTAAGTAGTAGTTAAGCATTTCTATTGACTCTGAGTGATCATTGCTAGCTGGTTAGACGGCTAAGCAGGAATACGTGCAGGCTTGGGCACAGACTTTAACGATCTAATGTAGTCAAGCTAATTCTGAGTTCGATTCCATTCCAGTGTACGAGTATCTATGTGAGTGAGTGTGTGCGATTCTGTGCTGTGCTCGTGTGCTTATGGCAAACACGTTTGGCCATTAACGTCTGGCTTCCATTAGATTGTAGCCAGAATTGTCGACGCAGGCGAATCAACCTTAGAGAAATGAGATGTTCAATTCAATGAGACGATCAATTTTAAGCGGCTTTGAAAGTGTTGCAGATACTCGATACAGGCATACTCGTGCATGCATACATTTGTGCATATTTGTGTATCTGTGTGTGTGTGTGTGTGTGTGTGGGGGTGTATGTGTGGGCGTGTGGGTGCTCCCAGCATTAACTGAAAAACGTGTCTAACAATCGCCCCAACATTTCCGCCTATTTAGGCGCAACAATTTTGAACTGACAGCCACGGCAGCCAATTAATCTTCCATAAAATCCAAAAAACCTCACAACGACCACAAAATCCAGATAAATTGTTATAAATGTCTTTGCGAATTAAGTTCATAAATTAGCTAAACACAAATATAAAATTTAGCCATAAATTTATTCGCCAGCCTCAGTCAACGTGTGTTCCAATATTGAATTGAAAGTTGTACACTTCTGCTGCTGCTGCTGCTGCTGTTGTTGTTGTTGTTGTTGTCGATGTTGCTGTTGTTTCAATTCATTATTTTTTCAAATTTAATTTTTTTCTTTTTGTTTCAGGAAATCACTGTGTGACGTTCTGTTTCTGTTTCGGCTTCGGTTTTTGCTTTTGTTTCAGTTTCTATTTCTGTATCTGTATCTGCATCTGTTCTTGTTTATTTTACGTTTGTTTCTGTGTTTGTATTCATTCTCTGGTAGTTTTGCTATAAGATTAATTAAATAAATTATTATTGTTGGCAGCGCCACAATTAAAAGATTTATGTGCGTTTTGTTTAGCTTGCTGCAATATTAATTATGCAAAAAGGTAAGAGGTTGTCTGCCATTCCTCTGGTTGTTGTTCTTCTTGTTCTTTTTTTTTTTAGTCAGAAACAATTGCAATTCATTGTTCAACGACTCATTAAATATGTTGTCATTTTTATTGGAAATCCACAATTTAGGATTTGCAGGACAGATCAAATGTATTTTAAACAAAGAACTTTACAATATGGAATAGAAAACGTAGACTTTATATATTCGTTCTCTTTATTGTCATTTAAATACAAGGCTTTCAGCGAAATTACAAAATTTTACCTTTCAACAAATGTCGAATTTTACAAAATAAAATCAACAATGTATTTATATCATGACTTTTTTTTTATCGAAAATAACACTTTGATTATTTTGAAGATTTCCATTTTGTGCCTTTAATACTACTTGCAATTTTTAAATAAATAAAGCAGTTGGCTGCAACCAGAATTATAAACAGTCCTTAATGTAAGTTGGATGATTTGTTTAATTATTTGATCTACATTATGACTAGAAAATGAGGAATATATTGTAAGCAACTAAAATTAATTTGTTTAGATGAGCACTTTAAAAATGTCTGTATCTTGTAGTGTTCAAACAGTTCTTAAAACCTATAGTATGTAGGTTAGGCTAGGCTTAGCCAATTGACCACCATTGGCAGCCACAAGTTGGTCCTTAGTGTTGCGAGCTATTGAAGAATAGTTAGAGTTTCCTGCTGTGGGTCCAAAAGAGCATTTTTCCGCCATGGCTTCGTTGCATGGCTTTTTCAATACAAATGAAATGAACATGTTCCGAAAGGGCAATTTGCAATATCATTTAAAATCATTTTATAAACTGGCGCCTAATTATTATAATTAGACTTAAACAAAATTTAAATGTTAATAAAGTTAATTTGGCTTTAAAAACATTTTCAAACCATTTGGTAATTCATTTTTTGTACCACGATTTTTTCGGCAATACTATTTAGCATTATCCCGAAAAGTATGCTACGCTTTCCGGGCAACACTCATTACGAAATAGCTTGTATTTTTCGCCGCCTGAATTTAATCTGAACTCTTATTTAGTTGCCAGACAATAACTTCCGGTCGGACAGGAATGTCTATTACACTTAATTATATTTTTACACGGTTGTGATTTAACACGGTTTGAAAATTAAAAATTGCATATATATTTCTTTAGAGATAAGGAACCAATCACCTATTTTTGCATATGATCAATTTCTTTTTTTACACGGTTGTTTCTGGAACCAATCTACCGTGTAAAAACAGAATTAGGTATATATGGTTACACGACTTTATTCCATTTAGCACGATTCATTTTGCATATGATCAATGTCTTTTTTACACGGTTTTTTTTAACACATCTTTTTTAGGAAACAATCTACCGTGTTAAAACATTATTAGGTTCTTTTAAAGACCCTAGGGGACTCTACATCGAACTTTCAATTATTTAGTCTCAGACACTACAAATATATTGAGTGACTCATAAATGGTTATACTAGTATTTGCAAGAAATTATACAATATAATATATATACTAATATCGTATTATACAAGTATAATATCCTATATCAATGGTCGATTCGAAATCAAGATTTGGCAATTTAAATACAAGTGATTCAATCTTTCCATTCCCATAAAACTTTTGTCAGTTCAGAGAAGTGTGTTTTTGTTATGAAACATAATATAAAAGCAATTTATTGTTCATAATTATAAACTAAAGTACTTAGTAATAGTTACAAGCTCAAGACTCCCAAAAACTCCAACAATGTTTGATGGGCGGCAATTTGTTCCATAAATATTAACTTAGTTAACAGCTACCGTCCGATAAAAAAAAAACAACTTAAAACAAAATTGTTTTAAATACTTATAATAATTACATAATTATTGCTTTTAAGATCATTTAGATTGGCCGAATCGGCTGATTGAATGGGCAATTGGCAATTTGGGAAGAACGATTCTATCTGTAATAGCCCAGAAGTGTCTCCACACGCTCCCGAGCCTCCACATAAGCCGCCAATACCTCGTCCAGCGTGGACTTACTGCTCAGACCCAAGTCACTGGGGGAAGTAAGGCCGTCACGACGGTGCTCAAGCAACCAGTGTCCATCTACGTTGCTGCGTTGTTGCAGCTTCTTTACGCTGAAGAGCAGGACACCTGTGCTGCGCGTGCCATACTCCGGCCTCCGATCCAGGCGAGTGTGCAAGGCGCCCATACACTGGCGCTGCTGCACATTGAAATAGCCGACGAAATCGAAGACTTTGCGACCGCCAATGAAGTAGCGATTGATTGCATCCCACCAGCTGCCCAATGGACGGATGCATTGCAGCCGTTGTCCAGCTTGCGCCGCCGCTGGCAATGGTGCTGCCAAGGAGCAGGAGAAGTGTGTGTACCCCTCGCAACGCTCGCGCTGCCAGCTGTCCACGGATATGACTTCGAAGTAAATGTGAAGCAGCTGCTCGGGGTCGTACTGCTCCTCGCAGAGCAACGTCAGTTGCCAGCAGTGGGAAAAATGTGCCGGTTTGTGGGCGCCACCGCCCAGACTCGTTTGGGTTGCACCACGCAGCGGAAACGGATCATCCGGGTTGGCCGGCTCCAAGATGGTGTAGGGCGGGGGATGAATGTAATAGCGCACATGTATGTTGGCATATTCGAAATGTTGGGCCTCGTGCAGCTCCAGCAGAAGCACCACTCGGCGGGTTCGTTTCGGCGGCTGGGCGAATTGGAGTAAGGTGCGCAACTCGGCGGCCAGCAGCCGTTGATTTCGATAGTAGCCAAGCAGTTCGTCAGTAGTCGCATCTGTGGGCGGCGAGTCCAGAGAGGTGGGATCATTGAGCAGGTCACGGAGTTTTCGCTTCGCTTGAGCGCTGGTTGGTGGCACAGTCAGTGGCCGCATCACATGAGGCGTCATCGCCTCCAGCTGCGGATCGAACGCCTCTAGTGGTATGACGCTCTGAAATCCGTACGAGTACAGCTGTCGACAATCGTGCTCGACCTCCACAATGTAGTCCATATCGTCGGCGCTGAAATTGAAGTCGGGATAGACGAAGAGCAGCCCTAACGTCGGCGAGTATTTGATGGTGATGAGCAACGTGTCTGGCTGCAGATCTGCATACACATACATTACTTGAAAGCCAGCGGCACGCAACTCAAGCGCCTCCTCCGACTGCTCATCTGAATCGGCATCGATGAGCGTGTGTATGAGGCAGGTGCGTTGTGCAAAGTTAGGATCCTCCACAAGACTGAACTCGGACAGAGGCAGCGAGGAGAACTGCATGCCTTCGCTGGAGGCAGAAATAAGCAAAGGAGATGCCGATGCTCGTAGAGACCGCAGCGGCGTCGATGTACGCTCCGACTCCATTTCTTGCCCCCTAACCCGCGTCTTTTCCAGCTCTCGTTCCCGCTGCCGCTTCAAGGACTTTGTCTTGCGCGGCTTGCGACGAATGCGCACCTGCTCTCGCGCCCGCTTTTGAGCCATTTCATGCCGCTCCTGCAGCTCCACAATGTCCTGGGTCCAGCGATGGTAGCGACGCTGTAGCGTCGTGACGCAGTTGCTCGCCTCTCTGTAGCGTGCCAGCTCCTGGCGGCTAAAGTGCTTCTGTTGCCAGCCGATCAGCATGTTGGCGGTGCCACCATTGCAAAGCTCCCGATTCTGCGCATAAAAGGAATCGCCCACAGCATCTGCCGCACCGCCATCCTTTTGCCAGCTGCTCTGCAAACTGCTCTGCTTACTAATGAGTTGACGATGCCGTGGACTCATGGGACATCGCATTAGATTGCTGCTCTGCTCGTTGCTGGCATCGTAGCCGCTGCTCTGTGTCGGCGTCCCACTTGGTGCCTGGTCAGTGGTGGTGGTGGTGGTGGTGAAGTTGCTGCTGTTGAAACTGTCCGTGCGCGTGCTGCTAGTGGGGTAGCCATTGCTCGGATTGTAGTAGTTGTAGTAGCTGCAAAAGCCGTTTCCATAGCTGCCAGACCCACTGACGCTGCTGAGGCCGCAGTGGGCCGTGTAGCCACAATACTCATCACTGAATGGCATGAATATGAAGAAATCAGACCTGCTACTGCCAAAACTGCTATCTGGATAGTGGCTCTTGTGGTTCGCCCCCGCCTGGGCACCCGTGTACTCGAATTTCGGAACAGGCAGCCACTCGCTAATGTGTCTCAGCTTCAACTCCATTTGAAAATCGGCAATGTTGCCTGTCACGCGATAGATTCCCGTTCGCTTAACTGCACTCGCTTTGTACATTTCGCAGTCTTTAGTATGCAGAAAGATATTAAAATAATAAAATAATATTACTGCACTTGTTTTCTTCTGTGGTGCATTTGTTTGTTTTCAAAGCAGCAATTATTATTTGATTTGTCGTTATGGCAACTGAATTTTAGCGGCGCAGCTGTCAGCCAACAATCGATAGCAACGGTTACTAGAAACGAGTATCAGCACGCGTTACTTTGTCACAATTATTGTCAGGCAATTAGTGGGAAAATATAAGAAATTAAAACGGAGCAATTTGTTTCCAGCATAATTTGTTGTGTTATCATATTTTTGTGATCACCATGCCAAACTTTATTAGTTGCTTTAATAAACTTAATGTGTACAAAAATTACCTATGTTGTTTAATTAATGTTTTTTTATTATTATTTATATAGTTTTGAATGTTGGTCAAAAAATTTTTTGTTTTTTATCCTTATAAGTCGAATGAATTAAACTCTTGACAGTTATTTTTGAGACGCAGTGATTAATTGTTTCAAAGTCTAAATAAATAAATAGAATTTATTACAATTGATAAACGAAAAGCTAAATTTAAAGCCTTGTGAAAATGTCACAGTCACATGCGAGCTTTTACTCAGCTCTAGCAAAACGGCAATCAGAGAACTACAAAAGCTGCCTGCTGCTGCACTAAATACAGTAAGTTGGCAGCTTGAAGTATAGCAACAACAATCGTTATCGACATTGCGATAACGTCTGGCCGTTTAAAGTGTGAAGTGTGCGTGCGTGTGTGTGTGTGTGTGTGTGTGTCTGTGTGTGTGTGTGTAAAGCTTTTACCACTGCCACTGCGCTTGCCTGCAGTTCTTCGGCGTCAGTTGTTTTTTGGTAACGCAGCGTGTTAGTCGTGTTGCTTTTAAAACGTCTCGATATACTCACTCAGCTTCTGTCACTCGCGACCTGTTGTTGGCCAAAACGCGCGCGCGCAACTAAACGACACGGGCTAATAGCGCTGAACAAGAAGAAACAAATTATACTATAACGACGACAGCAACAACAATTGTAATAACTACTTTTCATTCCACATATCGTTCTATATTGCTTCTGTTGGGTGCTGTGGCTGTGGCTTTGGCTTAGTGAAAGTGTTTTTGTTTTGTTTTTGTTTTTTTTTTTTTTGCTATTGGTTGTTGTTGTTTTTGTCGCCATTGTTATTTGCAGTGTTCTAATTTGCGATAAATATATTTGCAGAGTGCATCCAGAACACACAAAACGATCAGCATGCAACAGAAGGCCGAAGAGGTGAGTTTGACTTTATAGCAAATAAATAAATGTGTGTGTGTGTGGGTGTGCAGACTAGACTCAACAAATGAGCAAAACAGCTGTCCCCAACATTTGCTGCTAAATGCATCCTGCGTCGCAGCATTGTTGTTGGCCAAATGCCATGCTGCCAGAGCTAGAGTGCAAGTTCAGCCTTCCTCGGCGTTGAGCCTGCAGTTGCAGGCTATGCTGTGCATTGAACCTGCTATTGTTGTTGTTGCCACTGGTTCTTATGCCGTGACGTTCCATTGACTGCCTCCGACTAACACCGCCACCACCGCCACCACCACCAGCATCATCATCAGCAACAGCAACAGTATAGTAACGGCCTCATTGTAAATTGTTTTGTTTGGCTTTTCATTTAAATTTTAGGTTGGTTTTTTTTTTTTGTGGTATGCTACTTTTATGTTTATTGTTTAATGCTTTTTTCACGCCTGTTTATTCGCGGTCTTACACACATTTTGTTTTTGTCATCGGCGCCCTGTTTGCACAGTTGCTCCAAAATTTGGCGCTTAATTAATTGTTGTTGGCTCTGTTGCTCTCTTGTTTCGTATCGAGAGCAGGCGGCGGCCTTTATAGTTGTTGATTAACAGCTAGGACCTAGAAGGCTGCGCCGCCAACAATTAACAAAATCAACATTATTTTTTTCCACCCATAAACTGAATAAACACCACAAACGTACGATTATCAATGTATGTATGTACAAGTATATGTAGTATGTGGCTGTATCGGCACTCTTTCTTGGCATTGTTTATAACAATTTTTTTGTAGCTATTGTTGATGGCTTGCTGGCTGGCTTGGTTCGGTGGTTCGATGGCTTGCTAGCTTGGTATCTTGGTGGCTTGGTGGTTCGCTGGGTATCTGGCTACCTGGCTAGCTGGCTCGTTGCTTGCTACTTTGTTGCAAGGCAGCGCAGACAAAGTCAAAGTCATGGCAACATTTCAGTGAAATTTTTTCAACGCCACGGCCACGGCTTTCTTTATTATTGTTTGCCAGTGTATCTGAAAAAAAAAAAACAGAAATAAACTTCTTTTGTTTGAGTCGGACACTCTGTGCACATAATTGCCATAACACCCCTTCCTCTGCCTCCTGCCTGCTCTTGCCGTCATTCGCATTCTGGCTCTGCAAATGCATGGCAAATTCGTCAGATTTTGTTATTTTTGTTTTTGTTTTCTTTCTTAAGATCACGCTTAGCCTCCCAAAAAGTGTGCCACAAATGTCAAGTTCGATAAACAAAACCAAGAACAGGCAAACATACATATGTACATACATACATATGTATGTATGTATGGGTCGAAATGAAGCGGCAGTAACAACCATAATACAGCCGTCATTAACAACAACAACAACAGCAACAACAACAGCAACAACATGCGAGAGATCAGCATAAATCAACAGCTGTTTTTACAACTTACTTAGCGCGCGTAGCCAAAAACAATAAAATTCGAAAAAGCTGTTGTTGCTGCTGCTGTTGTTAGGCCCAAATGCTAAGTGTTCGGACGATAATGGTCAGAAGCAGAGAAGACGGAACCAAACGGTGTCCCCAACACACGGCGGCCAACGCAGTTGTAGTTGCAAGTAAAAGTCGAAAAACCTGTAGAGCACACATCATCATCTTGTAAGATTGGGAGCGCCGGAGACGGCGCCGGGGACAGCGACTGTCCATGACCCAAATAAATGAAACGAACGAAAATGCTTCAAGAATTGCGCGATTGCTAAAGCTGCCACTGATTTAACAGCTCCACAGCACAGTGGAGCGAACATTCAGATAGTTACGCCCCATGCAAGGTATACTATCTACTATACAAGTATTTATGTATTCTTGCCAGTCAAATTCAAGTGAACCGATATGAAAACACGATATCAGAAGGTACCTGTGCGATTATATGATCAGTTGCAAAATGTGTTCATATATAAATCAATGGTTTATGATTCCCTCAAACTCATAAATATTCTATTACATGATAAAGGGGCCTTATCCAGTTCGGCGAATCGCACAAATTTCCCAATCACTTTTTAACTTATAGTAAAATAAAGTCACAAGATTTTGCTATACAAATATATGTATGCCTGGGAAAAAGAATTGCATTTGCATTGTTCATTTAATTGTTTGTCTTCATTTATAATCGATTCACATAATTGTCAGAAAACTTGATTTCGTTGCATAGGAATGCTAAGCAAGGCTGTAACTTTTCTGTAAAACTAAACTCAACTCTTTCGTTACGACTTTGGAGACTTGCTGAGCAAACCAAACATACTCCCAGCTAAATAATTAACGATGATTCTTCAAGTTTTACCAAATTGTTGCTATCGATATGTTTAATACGCTACTTATTGCAAGCTTTACAAAATAACGGAGCTACCAAAATGTTACTTCGCATTTTAGTAGTATAGTAGTATACGTATTGGGAATCCTAACAAACCAATCGCCTATCGTTATCAGACTGGCCGCAGCGGAATTTATTATTCTTCCGATTGATTGCGCTGCTTTCTAAATTTGGGGTGTGATCAGCAGAACTTTTTTTATGAACTCTGAGCTAAAACAAAGCAAATCATACGCGCATATAGTATGTACGATATTTTGCGTTTCACGATTGCTAAATAAGTTGACCTAACCTAGCGCAATTTATTTATTGATAACTAATAATAATATTGATTGTTGCATATAAAGTCCGATTTCCCACTCACTTTTTGCAAAATACTTGTTTATTAATTCATTAAATTGTTATTATTTCCTTTATTTGACAATTTCTCAACCTTTCTTTGTTTCAATATACATATTAAGTATATATATACATGTCCAAAGTACATTTTTTATAAACGACTTAAGACCTTCATTAAATTAGTGATATATTCCATCGACTGTTTCAGAATAGAGTTTGAACTTTTTTTTACCTCGCTTGCTTCGCTTCAACATCAATGGGTACATAATTGCTTTGCTACAATTTCCCATTTGTTGTTAAAGTGAAAGAAAATGAGACTCGAAATCACATTACACATATTTACTTTTAAAATAATTAATGATCGCAATATGCTCTTAATTGAGAGATATTGTTGTTCAAAGTAACTAAAAAAAAAGTGTGAGTAAAGCACCTTGGGGTCGGGGTCACCAAAAAAAGAAAGAGCCAACCAAACAAAAAGATTTGAAATCGGAACCCCATAAGCTGCGGCTACAGCTTTCAACTGTTCTTCAGTTTATTGAGCATTTGCAACCACTGTAAATGGCTGAGATCTCTTGTCGGCTGAGACTATCTAAACTGTTTTCTTAGCTGTCAGTGAAATCTAGAGGCTGCGAGCAAATGGAACATCATCGGGTCATATCCTATTAATCATGATAGACTAGGATTAGTCCTCGGCTGACTCCCACCACGCCATGAAGTTACGTTTTGGGCGCCCAAAACCGGTTAGAATTTTATACTTTGTGAATTGTTGTTATTATTTTTGTAAGGCTTGTTTTGGCTCTAGCTACAAATTTCGCTTTTTTCGACAATTTTTTTCACTCTTCTACCAGTTTTGTGGTTAAATTTTCGCCGTTTCTCAATTGAAAGTAAAATGCACAGCAAACTGGTCGAAATAATACTTATGTATATACTATAATAATAAAATATATTTATATTTGCCGCAGAAGGCACTTGGGATAAGGTGCGATTAAAAAGAGCCGACTCTTAAATCAATGCAAATCAGTTTCCACCTCTAGTAGTTTTAGCCTTAAACTTGGCATCGTTAATGTCTAAGACCCCGTTACTCTCGGCTTTATCGGCGTTATGGCTCGTTGTAGCTGCCAGCTGAACAAATGTTGTAAAAATGTAAATTAAATAAAAGAGCAGCCAAAAAGAAGCATTGCCGCCGGCCGATGATAATCATAATAATTAACAAAGCGCAAAGTGCGGGCCGCTGCCAGCTACTGTCGTAGCTTGTTAGCCCAGAGCCAGAAAAGGCGGGAGGGAGGCAGGGAGGGAGGGCGGAGCACCATCGGAGCAATCAAAGCCAAAGGCGTATCGGAGCTAAGAACTGAACTCGACTCTAATTACACACACAGCTCACAGAGCACGAGAGACATAGGCGGCATGGGCGGCTCAGCTCAGCTCTGCTCGGATCGGATCGGATCGTGGGGTACGAGCGGTGTCAAGGGAACTGAGCAACAAAACGTGCTACAGCAACAACAACAACAACAACAGCAAACCAGCCGAAAAAGATGCCGCTTATTCAAGTATATGTACACACTCCTATAGATGTATATATGTATATATATACATATATATAAGTTGGTTTGTGTGTATGGAAAAGGCAAACAAACGCCAAAACGCAAAGTACGCTAAACTTGAAATTTTGTCGCTCGTCGCCTGAGGGGGGGGGAGGAACGCGGGAGAGCGGCGTGTGACGTGTGGCGGGCGGAGGAAGTTTGGGTGATCATCGCCGCCTGGGTCATTGACAGTTGACCCTTGGCAAAGCCGCCTGAAAATTTGACTTGCGCGCCTAAGCATTTGGAGAGAAACAAAACGAATGTTAATCTTCCATTGGAAGCTGGGAACTGAGAAAAAGGCAGAAGGCAGCGATCGCAAGTCACATCTGTATTTTGCATATCTCCAAAATCTATATTATTAGATTTATTTGTAGTACTTCTAATAACTTCTTTTAAGATCTACAGTTGCTTTACTTTAAAACGAACATAATGCCAGTTACAATCTATAATTGCATTTACTCCAATTGATTGCGATACGTAGATCCTTAATCGCCGTAATTGAAGACAAACATAGTGTAACCAGTAATATCTTTAAGTTAGCTATAGAATTTGCCGAACTTGGCAACTCTGGTTAGGCTCACTTAACAGCAGCGGATCAGAAATATCCATGTTATAAATACTTATTCAAGTCAAGATTTCAAAAGCAATAAACTATAAAAATACAACAAGCTCTTAAGTGCAAATCAATTTAAAAGGCTATCTAAGCAGACCTTACTTTAATTGATATTAAAATTAAAAG